TTGTGGAATAAAATTAAAATATGTTATAGTAGATGTTTGATTTTTAGTGCATGATTTGTTTTTTATCTATATTTGTTAAAATGATATCTTCGCGGTTTTTTTTTCTGATTCCTCCCCACCCAAAAGGAGTACCTCTGGGACAAGGGGAGGGACTTCTGGTGGCAAATATGTTGGGCCCTCAACAGCTTACCAAAACTTATTAAGTGGCCCTCCAGCCTAAATAATTGCCCATCCTGTACTTTACAGCTGCTCGGGCACAAGATAGTAGATTTGAAGTTCTGCCAACTTAACCACTCAGTTGTAAGTACCCCTGCCTAGAGAACCCTGCACAGTGAATGCTGGGCATGTGCCTGGTTGGCTGTCTTTTGCTTAAGCATAAGGCTTCCTGCCCAGGTCCAGGCACTTGAACATACATTCGATTTGAAGACAAGAGATTTTGAAATCACTAAAATGGATCAAGCTGATGACACCTAGCCCAGAATCCTGTCCCCAACAGTGGCCAGTACCAGCTACTGCAGAGGAACTTGCAAGCCTGCCCCTTCCCCCTCCCCCTCCCCCCAATTGGTAGGTTTGGGATTGTCTTCCTCACTGTAGAATCATAGAAAAGGAGGACTGGAAGATTCCCCTGGATGTCATGTAGTCCAACCCCCTTCCTGAGGCTAGATCATCCCAATCCAAACCATCTCAAACTAATCATTGTTTAATCTGTTACTAAAACTACATAATCAACCCTGTTACACAACCTGTAACACAGCACCCTGACCAACCACAGGTAAAGCAGGGGGATACTGGTGGCCAATGTTTAACAACAAGGGTTATTAAAATATGCTCGAGAGATCCATGCTGTCTTATGATTTGTGACTCAAGGTACGATAGCCCTTCCACAGTGCTCTTCAACATTAACTAATCTTTAACTGTGGAGTTTCTTGCTATCTATTTATTTAAACCTCGCAGAGTGCATCTACATGTGGCCATACAGCGCCTTTGTTACAGCACTGTCATTTAGTACTTCCTTTTGGAAGTACTAAAATATGGTGTTGTAACAGCCTGTACTGTGCTGTGCCAGCCGGGCACAGTTATTTTTGGCCACTATGTCGCCGTAGCAACGCACTATAACAAGGGAGCACATTGCTATGGCGATGTAGCGGTGGTGTCATGGTTGTTGCCAACAGACACTATGGTGGTGTAGCGCATTGCTACAGCGCTGCACAATCTTGCGTAGATGTGCCCACTATGTTCTTGGTCTCAACAATTTCCTTTGGCTGTGGGTTACACAGTTGAATTATGCATAGTTTGAGCAGCAATTTCTTCCTGATCAGTATTGGACTTCCCACCTCTCCATTTTATTCACTGTCTCCTGGTTCTTGAGTTATGCCACCCAGAGAACTAAGCTCCCGCTCTCCTTCATTTGTATCACAAGAGCCAGAGAAGTCCCTGTCTGACCACTTATGGCTGCCAAAGTGAGTGTCTGTCATGTGCACATGTGGCGGGCTCACTGCTTTTGCCTGACAAGCATGGCTTGGAGAAGGACACTTCAGATTGGTGGAACATTTCCACCAATCAGGTAAGATCAGGGAGGACCTGCTCAGAGGTGGGGGGGATGGGAGGAGCCCCTGGACCTGATTGAAGACTGTGCTTTTCAGGCCTGCAGACTTCAGGGGCGGGGTCTCCGGTGTAAATAAAAGCCCAGTGTGCCCAGCGAGGGGCAGATGCATGCGAGGGACTCAAGAACAGTGGAGCCAAGAAAAGCTGGGGAGCTCTCCCCCAGCAGGCAATAGGCCCAAGGCTCCTGAAGCTGCCACTGGAGGAGCAGCCGCGGGACCGGTGCAAGACCACTCAGGATAAGTGATGCAGCCATTTCCACACTGTGCAACTACCACTCTCAAGACGCTCAAACAGATGGAATGACTCATGAACCTGCGCCTGAGAAACAAAGCCCAGCTGGGAGCTGCTGTTTCTGCACACACAAAAAAACCCACACGTGCTTTCAATCTCAGATCAATGTCGTTTTTCAAGAGGAAAAACAATGACAAGGGCAACCCAAATACAGTATCCAGGACAGCATAATGTATGCGTCTCTTCTGCAAGCAGTGCCAGCATCAGTGACCAGCAAGGTATCTCTTCTGAATGCATGCAGAGTTCTTCAGAAGTTATAGGGACAGTGTACTGAAAACCAAGGCATCTCAGTTTCACAGCGGCATGTGCCACCTACTAGCGAGCGGGTGTTACAGGTTTCCCCCTCTGTGCTTGATCCACTGAAAGTCTAAATTCTCTACAGTAATAATTAGTGACTCTTGGCAAGTTTAGTTCAAGTTAATGCTTTCAGCAGGCCTCTGATTCAACCTCAATTATGGAAGCTGTCTCATTGGCATCATCCTGAGTCTAAGTTTAGACCTGTCTTTGACCACATCTTTGTAAACTCCAGAATCCCATCACTCCCCACAAAACTCTCTGTCCTACAGCTTTCTGTTTAACTTCTGCAGCGTCCTAGTGGTAAGATATATTTGCAGAATAACCTTCCAAAGTAAGAAAAGTAAGTGATCATCCCATTTAATTTCAAACTGAGATGTACAAAATTCTGGAGAACTTCATGTAGGGAATGGTGTTGCACAAATAGGAGATAAACTAACTAATTATTACATGTAAAATGTACTACATGATTGAAAGGTTGCAAAGCCAAATGCTCAAGAACCAGGAAATACCAGAATCATGGTTGTATGTAAAATCTTAATTCAGCCCCTTCTGTGCATATGCATAATAACACGGTCTTTAATTACATGATCACATACTCCTTTTCCCATGAGACCCTATTATTATTAAAATGTATTATTTGCACTGAGGTAGCAATGAGAGACTCCAAGCAGAGATCATAATGACAATGAGCCAAGCACCATACAAACACATACCCAAGGGAAGGTCCATTTTCCAAAAAAGCTTATAGTTTAATAGCTTTACTGTCTTTGATCTTTGTTGCACAGAGTCAGTTTCTACTGACAGGAAGCCATGTGCCTCTAACGAGCTGGTTCGGTGTCACCCGTTCCCATCTGGTTGCTCAGAAGGGGAGTGGGGGGAATTAGGTACAGATCAGTCTAAATTCGGTAGACATGTTGCTGCAGTGTAGGGGGGAGGTGTCTCTCAGGATCCCCTCAGCAACTCCGGTTTTCAAACCTTAAGCTCTGGTTCCTGGCCTGGGATCACAGTATTGTTGGACATGAATGATATTTTCTTTTTAAGTAATAAAAATACAATGGCTCCCCCAAAATAAACAGAGTGACTAAAACTGTTTTACACCAAGTTGGAAACTTATCCAAATGGAAAATAAGAGGGAGGGGACCCCACCATGCACCTGAAATTTGGACATACATCTCCAAGCCCCTCTGGCCCCTGCTCCCTGGACACACACACAGACGCACGTCACCATAATGAAAGTTAACTCTATGTGCGGCCTAGCACGTTGCTATGGTAACCATGCAGTAGTAGTGATAATGAAAACCAGACCTGGGATTACAGGCCTCAGTTCTTGCTCTCGCTCAATCCTGTCAGAGGCAACTTGACAGACTAGATGGAGCAGTCTTTCCCCTGCCAGTATACACACAAGTAGTAGTAACAATTGCAAATCCTGGCGGGGCTGAAGTTACAGACCTAGCAGGGTTATAATCTGTTTACAAGTTTCACCTGGCCTGGGTCTTTCCCCTGTTGATTTAACCCTGTTGCATCTCCGCGGACACAGGCTGATCCTTGCCTTTCAGCTGTCAACTCTCCCTGACTGTTGTTTAAAAATAAATCGAGTGATCCCGCAGATCGGATGCTTCTGAACGGCTCTCCCATGTGTACAGCGCTCAGCCCTGCGCCGAGGGGAATCTGGAAAGTCTAAAGACTAAAATGCCTTTCTGTTGAAATCAGTGGTTTGCTATTAGTTAAGCCCTGCAAAGCATACGTTGGCCAAAGAAAATTCAGCTTTTGATGTACCACCTGGTTTCCAAGCCCTGCATTTACGCAGCTCTCTACCAGAGCTGGAGCAAGATAGGAGGAAGGCAAGCACTCGTGATACCTGAGCTCAGACACGAGCAGAAGGGGCTGCGACTGAATTAAAATCCAAGAACCCATACTTTGCTCTAACTACTAGACCCACTGTACTGCTTTCCTGCGACTAACTGTAAATCCACCTGAGCAAAGGAAAGAGGCAAGGCAAGAAAAGGACACTGTTATTCTTTTGGGCCTGTAATGAAGCCAGGAAAAGACATCTTTAACAGCAATTAGGAGGTGTCACTCAGACGCTGATCATTGGTGGTGGGTTCACAGTGTGACAGAAACAAAGGAAAGGTCAAATTCATAAATGTGTTTAGGTAAATCTAGTGCAAATTTCATCTCATCATTGCGTAAATTATAACAACTTGATGTAAATTACACTGCTCTTGTGGCCCCTAGGGACCGTGAGCAGCATATAAATGCCTGGGGACACTGGACTGGAGACAGGCCCAGGTACAGTAACATAAACTACTTTATATTCATATAGGCCTGTGGTCTAAAGTCCTAAGAGTAGAGTCACTATGGACAACTCGCAGTCCAGAGCTGCCAGAGAACCACTGGAGGGAGCCCCTGCTGCGGTGGCATCTGTGAATGAGAAATCAGAGCTAACTTGTAGGCTGGGCATCATTTGCATGGCTGTGATGTGACAGTTTGGAAACATTATGCTAAAATACTGCAAGGTTCTGGAGCTTGGGATGGCTGGAACCCAATTAGCCATGTGTGAACATGGATGGGCAAATGAACCATGCTCAGTATGCTCAAGGTCATGGGTCACCCTACCCAGTTCTTTATGGGTGATTGGGTCATGAGCAAAGCAAGAAAGAAAAGGGAGGGGCAAAAAAGGTTTCATGCTGATATGTCTTCCTGACATGGTAAGGATTCAGTTGGGATCTAATGTGCCACTGAATCTTCTTCAAAGAACTAAAACACTGCAGAGGCTGTTTCATGATTATCTGAAAAACTGAGGCATAATAGAGCAGAATGAGGGAGTAGCAAAGCAACAACAGTAACAATAACTATCGGCATCAAAGCAACTGAGGACAGAGCAGTAGCTTATAAAAGGGACACCAGTGGGAGCCTCTCAACCCAGGGCCAGGACAGTGGTAGTAGAACGCCTAGAAACTGCACCTCATAGAAGTGAGAGCTTAACTCATCCCAAACTTTGATTCCTTCAAGCTAGGAAAGCAAATCATGAGTGGGCTAAAATGAAGAAAGGGCAGTGGCAATTCCGTCATCAGTCACTCAGCCACGGGAGGAGGACTGGGTCAGGATGGTTGCTAAAAGACCTTGGGGTGGCCTCACCTACCATGAATTTATTATGCAGGTTTTGCTAAGCGATTGCTTATTGTTTTCCCCTTAATGCCATTTTTAGTTAAATGAATCCTGGGACTTAGTACTTGTAAGTGGTAAATACTGCATTATTATGAACAGTGTAATTTTGTTTTTTAACTGGTGTTATTAGTTTGTTGCAGGAACCTCTAGAAAGTGAACAAGTCCTGCTACATATTGTACAGCAGGATGTAAGAATCAGGTTGTAAGAATCATCATCTACTGATGATTAAGGGACTTCGAATTAGTTGTGGAGCCTAATCACAGGTCACACATTCCTCGATTTTACTCTCTGAGAAAACCTGATTGAATCTAAATCATAGTATTGAAGAGGCTGGAAGAAAGTACACATTCTTTTGTAGGTCAGGAAAGACTGTTAAAGGACTGAGAGAAAGCCTGAAGGTGACCTATTGATATTGGGTGTGGTAGCTTGCAGGGAGTCCAGCAGCAGGAAGGGAACAGTATTCCCTTGCAAATGGAAGACTGAATGAATGATCAAATCACTGGATCTGAAACAAAATGCACAACAATTTCTCAGAGAAGAGAAATTTTACCCTTCCCTCCCTTCCCCCCCCCCCCCCCCCAAAAAAAAAAAAAGAAGCAAAAAAAAGCTTTGGGATACAAATAGCCAGAAATCTCCTAGCCTTGATGGTAGCATCTTCATCTACTAGGTTCCACAGTTGTGTTTTCAACATTTGGTGAAGATATTCCAGGACCATTTCCTGTTATGAAAGACCATAGAACTGCCTACTGTTGATTTGCTTAAGATGGAGTTTTCTAATATGCTACCCACTGTGGCTGGTTCACAGAGAACAGGAAAGTAGATAAGGGACCTGAGCAAAAGTGCTAGAGGTTTTTGTGTTCTGGCTGATAGAAAAGCATTACAGTGACAGACTAAGTAGGTAACTGATGGGGTGTTAAGAAGCAACCAGCACGGCTTTGTTAAGGGTAGATCATGCTTGACAAACCTAGAGTGCTTCTACGACCAGGTAACTAACCATCTGGACAAGGGACACGAGGTTGATGTCATTTACTTAGACTTCAGTAAATCCTTTGATTCTGTTTCCCATGGGATTATCTCAACCAAACTGGAGGGTACTGAGATGGGCCAGTCTACAATGATGTGGGTGTACAACTGGCTTAGAGGCTGCTCCCAGAGAGTTGTAATTGATGGGATGGTCTCATCCTGGAGGGCCATCTCCAGTGGTGTCCCCCAGGGATCGGTGCTTGGACCTGTGCTCTTTAACATATTTATTAATGACTTGGATGAGGGGGTGGAGAGCTCAATGATTAAGTTCGTGGATGATACCAAGCTGTGGGGAAACGCAGGCACATCAGAGGATAGGGTAAAGATCCAGGACGACCTTGACAGATCGGATTTATGGGCAGAATAGAATCAGATGAGTTTTAACAGGGAGAAGTTCAGGGTTCTTCATCTGGGTAGGAAGAACCTTCACCGTAACTACACGATGGGTGGTAGTCCACTGGCTGGCACAGCATCTGAGTGAGACCTGGGGATCATGATAGACCAGAAGATGAATATAAGCCAGCTGTGCTATGAGGTTGCCAGAAGGACAAATAGAGCTCTGGTGTGCATCAGCCAATGTGCTGCCAGTAGATCCAGGGAGGCGCTCCTTCCTCTCTATTTGGCATTGGTGAGACCACATCTGGAATACTGTGTCCAGTTTTGGGCACCACACTTCAAGAAGGATATGGATAAGCTTGAGAGGGTACAAAGAAGGGTCATGCTTATGATTAAGGGCACGGAAGATAGGCCGTATGAGGAGAGACTCCGGGAACTGGGCCAGTTTAGTCTGAGTAAGAGAAGGCTGAGATTTGACTGGATAGCTGCCTATAAGTATATCAGGGGTGAGCATCAAGACCTAGGGGAGCAAATCTTCAGGAAGGCACCTCAAGGGAGGACAAGGACCAATGGGGCATAAGCTGACAGAGGGTAAATTCAGGCTGGACATAAAAAAAATAACTTGTTCTCTGTAAGGGTTACCAGAATCTGGAACACACTCCTGGCAGAGGTGGTGCAGTCACCATCCTTGGAGGTGTTCAAGATGAGGCTGGACAAGCACCTTGTTGAGCTCATCTAAGCCCAACAACTTCCTGCCCATGGCAGGGTACCGGACTTGATGATCTTACAGGTCCCTATGATTCTACGATTAATCAAAGAACAGGTGATAGACTAATCACAGATGTCACAGACTAATCAAAGAATGTCATTGCCTTTCAAGTGACAGACCAATTCCCAAAGTCTGTTGGTCTAGGAATTCAAAAGCTTCCTTTTTATACTTCACCAAGATTGGAATTCTTTAGAACTAAATGTAAGCACTTATACAGGCTGACATTAGAAAGTGACTGTAAAATCCTGCCAAATCTTGAAATCTCATTGTGAATCTCATGACATCTGCTGGTGTTATCACTACTGCCACTACTTCTGGGGTTGTGTGCTATGTATGCCCCCAGACCCTCAATTTGCTTTTCTTTTCTTTTTTTTAAGTCCATTTCTAGCCCTCAGAGATCCAGAAGAAAGGCTTGGAAAGTTACACACACACACACACACACACACACACACACACACACACACACACACACACACACACACACACACACACACACACACTGCAGGATTTTTAAGCCAATCTCACGATTTGTGGGGCCTAACTCAAGGGCTTTTTAATGCTTCTAGTCAGTGGTAGAACATCAGCTTTGTATGGAATAGGGAAAAGGGAACATAAATTAATTCTCGTCCACCCCAGAAAACCCAATGTCCTATTTACAGCCCCAAATGGACATATTCTTTTTTTCCTTTCCACATTTTCCAGTGTCTGTCTTGCTTTTTGTCACCAGTCACCTCTCACATGAAACTAAACACTCTCAAAACAGAAGCTGAAGGAGGTTGGACATCTACAAACCAAAAAGGAGCTGCCCATGGAATGCTGTATCAGGAAGAACTAATGCAATTCCTAGATATAGAAACAGGGGAGCCGGTAAAGGGGGGAGGGGAGGGGCGGGGAAGGTTAAGCATTGTTGAGGTCAATCTCAGAAGAATGCACACAGATTGGATGTTTCCATTTTTTAAAGTATTTTGAAAAATGGTAGATGATGCAGAAAAGAGTCACAAAAATGATTTGAGAGTGGAAAGAGGCCAATTAGATTGAGAATCTTAAAAGCCTGAATCTGTTTAGCTTGTAAAAGATGTAGAGGTGATTTGATTATCATGCGCAAGTGCCTTCACAGTGAGAAAGCACTGAATATAAAGGACTCTTTAATCCTGTGGAGAAAGGCATAACAAGAACCAGAGGCTGGAAGCTGCAGAGAGGAAAATTCAAATTAGAAATTAGGCACAAAATTTTAACAGTCAGGCTGATTGGCCACTGGAACAAACACCTAAGGAAAGTGGTGGATTTTCCATCTCTTCTTATCTTCAAATCTGGAAATATGCTGTAGTTAATAAGTTATAGGGCTCAATGCAGAGATAACTGGCCCAAATACATGTTCTAATGGTGTCTTCTGGACTAAATTCTATGAAGTTTTATATAGCTGTGAGTAAAAGCTAATTGCTTATTTTGGAGTATTAGTTGGGCAATTAGCTTCTATGCTGATGTTACTGTCCACTGTGGAACCAGGAGGAGGAGGAGCATCATTGCACCCTTAGTTTATTGGATACCTTGATTTCAGTTCCGTGACCTCGAGGATCTTCATCACAGTCACAGCAACTGCCGGGATGTCATGACCAGTGTTATAGTAAATAAAATACAGTACTGGCTCTCAAGGGATGTAGCTGGAAAAAAATGATCGACAGAAGGTACATCAATGCTTCCACTTTATCAGTTCAAAAAAGGCTTTAATTTTTTGGGTCAGTGTCATGAATTGGAAGGTTTCAGACCCAAAAGTGAAAGTCTAAAAAATGGCTAAGAGCCATACATCCTGTGTGTGTCCCTCGTTGCCTTCCCTCCACCCGCACCTCACCATAACAAATGGAAAGTGAATTTTCATCTGTGATCAAATGGTCAAATGTTTCTTTTATTAGAGCTAATTGGATCATTATTGACACTGAAGCTGAAATGTTTTACAGAGACAAAGGGATTGCAGCATGGATTTGTTTTTGGTTTTTGGTTTTCTTCAGAGCAAGAAATGCTCTATTGCTTACTAGTTGGGGCACTTATCTGGGCTGTAAGAGCCTGGGGCTCAGCTCCCTACTCTGCCTATTCCAGAGAGATCATGGACAAAAAACTCTGCTGTGAATCAGGGACATCAGCTTGCCAGACCAGCATCTCTTACATCTCAAGCCCCATCTTTACTCTTTCCCAATTGAAACAGTCAGGTCTTCATCAGAAACAAGACATTTTGACACAGTCCCACATTTGGAAAGTTTTGATTTTGTTCCAATGCTGAATGAAAACAAATTTCAAACCTCAAAGTTGCCGTGAAATGCAATTGCTGTATTCCAAGCAGCTCTATTTTTGATACAACACAGACCCTGTCTAAAGTGAAGCTTCCCTTCATTTTGTCAAGTTGTTTTCTTACAGCTGAGAAGTAGATTTTTTTATATATATATAATTTGTATCCGAGGCCAAATTAGCCAAAACTAATTCCAAATCCAAGAGTCCAGAAACATAAGTGGCCCTACTACCGGCAAAAATCCTCCACCTGCACCTGGGGCTGCACTTTGGCGGGTACTGAACCACGCCAGAAGAGCAGTTCTCCTGCGAAGTGGGCTAGGAAAACTGCCTTCTACAGCTGAGAAGTAGATAAGTTGACTTAAGGATGCCTTCTCTTAAAGTCCTAGAAAAGTAGGGCTGGAAGGGACCTCAGGAGGTCATCTAATCCAATCCCCTGCTCAGGGTGGGATCATCCCTAGACAAGGCTTTGTTTAATTTGTTAAAAACTTCCAGGAAAAAATCTGCACATACTACTACCATGCATAATGAATGAAACATCAAAAAACCCCATTTAACTTGCCATAGGTATAGCAGGGAAATTGTCAAAGACTGCCCCTGCAAGGACAGGAAGTAGTTTGTTAAAATATGCCCAAGAGACTGAAGGAAGAGGACCATCACCATCATCACTGACCTTTTTTTTTAGTATTGTACAGAAAGAAACTGTAGAATCTGAAATAAACAGGTCCAGGACTCAGATCCTTTCTAGTATAATTGTCCAGAAAGTATCCAATAATTATTATTTCTATTTTCATAGGAAATGTACTGGTATATTGTAGACTCAGATCACAGAAAGAACTGTTCTTATCAGCTAGTCTGACCTTCTGAATAACACAAGCCAAGGACTTCACTCCCAACTTCCAGCACCTACCAACAATTTGCTGATAAAAACTCTTTTGGACTAAAAAAGACATCTGGCTTTGGGCGAGCGTTTCTCCAAGTAATGGAGAATTTACCACCTTCCTTGGTAAACAACTGTAATGGTTAATCAGCCTTAGTATTAAAACTGCATCTTATTTCCAGATTTAAATTTTAATTGCCAGTCATTAAACCTATTGTGTCCTTGTCACCTATCAGATATCTCTTGACTCACTTCTTAACCAGCTATCTAAATGGTTGGAGATCCTTTAGTCTTTCATCAGATTTTCTTGTGTATTCTACTTTTTTTTTCTTTTAGCTAATATTACACAAAGTAGCTGAGCACTTTCCAACCCAGAAGTAACCAAAGTTGATTCCTGCCATAGGTAGAGTTCCATATGTTTTTTTATATCCTGATCGAGTTGTTGTAATGCACCGGTCCATATGTATATAATTAATCCATCACCAGAATCTCATTCTGTTTTCCTCAACATTGACAGACTTCCATGTCTTGGGCCAGATGGGATGAGGCTCTAGGTCTGTAAAGGTTCCTTCCAGTTAGTCTTTCAATTTTTATTGCTGTAGGTCTTCTTTATAGCACTGAAATACCATCTGTGCATTTCCATGGAGAATGTCAGCTCAAGAAGCAAACTTTGGAGATAGAGGTCCATCTCCAGAATTTCCTCTGATGCATGTAGTGAATAGGACACCAGATTCCGCTTTCATTTATACTGATGGAAATCAGGAATAGTGCCACTGAAACTGATAGTGTTGCACCGTAATTGAGGCAGGGAATCACCTCGGTAAAGCTTCAGTCCTGGTCATTTAGGACATGCATGCACACAAATGGTCTTCTCATGCAGTAATACCTGCACAGAGTCTTCATCACTGAGTCAAGTCAAGGGATGCCCCACTCTGTATTGGAAGAGTTAAAGGGGAGTAGTTCATGAATAATACTGGAGCACAGCAACTGCCAGATGTGAAGCTTCAAGAGCAACATTAGTTTCAACTTCCTGTCCTCTCATTGTTGAGGAGTAGAGGTAGCTTTTCCAGCAGCTCCAGTCCATCTCTTTCTTAACAGGACAAGAGAGCAAGGCAGGCTGGGAGCTGAAGTCTGCAGGGCAGAAAAGTCTAGTTAGCATTCCAGCAAGGCCTGCTGGGGAACAGGATAGATTTATATGGAGAGATCCCTTCCCAGAGACCATGGAGTGACATGGTGTGCTTTCTTTAAGATGATGGCAGCAAAGAAGCCATTTTGGAGTTTTCTCTTTATGTTGTTCCTTCTGCACCTGTGTTTACTTTGGAATAAGACTTGAACCAGGCTCTTCTGCAGAGCAGTGGAGTCAGTTTCAAGAAAGACCAGGGAATAAATCCATTGGCAAGGGAACATCACACAGCTTTTCTTTTGAGTGTCATGATTATCCTATCAGGGTATCTGCCTGAACTTTCAACGCTGTGTGCCCAGATGATACTTTTGTTGAAGATGGTGATTAAAAAGCAGTGCGTCCCCCTGTAGCACTGGGTGGATTACAGCATCCTTGGGTATGTACCAAGTTTCTTCCTTCATGAATCATGGGCTGAAGCTGTCTCCCTTGGGGGCTGCTAGACTTGTTAGTGAACACTCAAACAACAGCCATCAATGGATCAATGGCTCCATAAACTAATTAGATGCTTGGCCTTGTATTAGTAAGTGTCTCACATGTGGAAACAGGCCATTAATAAGCTATGGCCAACATGCAGAGTCTAGAGGTGTGAGCCAGTTCAGATGTAAGGCTCTTGGGTGTAGGGCAGGTGCGCAGAACCTGGAGATGAATTGTGGCCCATAGCACATGACAGGACAGGTTTCTGAGACCTGGCAAGCTAAGGGGGATGAGAAAGAAACCCCTCCCCCGCCCCCCAAAAGCTCTTATTCTCCACAAAGCCTCTATAGAGACGGCCCCAATTCTAACTGTGTGTGGGCTAGAAAAACCCCACTGGCATCAATGGAGTTACTCCTGATTTACATCGTGATAATTGGGATCCATAAGGCCTTGCCTTTCCCCACAAGATCCTCCACAGCCCTGTGCTCCATCCCCCCCCCCGCAACTCACAGGTTCCCTGCAGCTCCCTCTCAGCTTTCCCTGCATAACCTACAAAAATCTATCTAAATTATGCTCCCACTCCCAATGGAGGTGGGTCGCCGTAGCAACCGTGGCCAGTGCTGGCAGTAAGGAAAGGAGGCAGCTCATGGCAAAGGGACAGGTGTCACTGAATTCACATCCATTAACGTAACTTTAGGCCCGACGCCTCAGGTAATCCTAGCCAAGCTGCAATGTGGGTGGTGGGGCCGGGGAGAGCGCTGGGAAGGAAGGGCAAGGAGCCAGGTCATGTAATGTGCTCTCCCTCGGGCTTATCAGTTCCACATCCCAACAGCTTGATTGGGACGCGGGACAGTCATCAGGCGACAGGACGAGATCTCCTCTTCAGGAGAAGATTCACCAGCCTGAACCGTATATCATCCCCAGCTCTCTGGCTTCTGCCATGTGTTTGCATTTGATGTCTACAGGAATTTCTTCCCAGAGCGGCTCATTAAATAGGTTAAACATGATGATTTGATTTACTTTTTTTCTGCTTCTTCTTTTAAGCAGAGTTTCCTGCCGCAGCTCCCCTGAGCCCACTGGAATCACTCCATACCTGAGCTGTGTTATTGCAGCGAGCTTCAGCGCCGCTCCAGTGGGCTCATTCATCACCCCCATCTTTTCTCAGGTCATCCATTACCAGAACGGCTTAAGGGAGAAAGAGTAACTGCATCTCAGTATCTTTAAGTTACACCTGCCTGAGCAGCAGGGTCCCAGTTCCATTAACTGTAACGGAGCCGGCTTATCTAGTGCTGCTGATTGTTTGTGATAGTAGGCTGTGATTTTACAGCTAGGCTCCTGCTAGGAGTCAGCACTACCCAGTGGTGCAATAGTTGTAACCCCCTCCTTTCCTCTCCAGGCTTGCTGCTAAGCACAGCCCTGCACCACTGGTGCTACCAGATGTTTATTGCACGTGCCCTCTGGGGCACCTTCCTGAAAAAGGGCAATGGACAAAGGGTCACACTGGGCAGAAGAAAAAGATGTGGAATAAAAATAACAAGGGAGAAGTAAGAGCAAATTAGGTTCTGGAAATCAACATTTCTGGTGGTAGTTTTGCTATATGCCTAGATGTCCCTAATAAATGGATAGGGGAGATTCTTGCAGCATGAAGTGGCCTGATAGAAGCCAGATCCCTGTAACTGGGAAATTTCTCTGGCATGGAGAAGTCCTCACACACCCTGAGCCCTCCTACTTCATTTATCTTCCCTCTGTATGCACTGGAACAATGGTTCCCAATCTTTTTTATACTGTGGACCAGGGCACACGGAGCCAGCTGCCTCCCTCCCAGGGCTGCCCCACTGTCCAGTTATAACTCTGCACATGACTGCCAGCAGTGGAAACCGCTCACCTGGGCAGACAGATGGGGG